ACGTACTTTAACGTTACCCTTCCTCGTGGTCCGCCCTACGACGAGACCTCAAAAATAGCTGTTGCAACGCCGTGAAGGAAAATTCACTGAACTTTGTTTGCCTTTCTGTCACCGCGCTTTACGCGAACTGGTGTGCCCTCATTGGAACCCACCATTAATAATACAACGCGTCTGATTAAGCCCACTGTACCTCTGAAGTAAGCCCTCCCCCCTCACTTTGCGTTTTGCACTAGCTAGCTTTGCAACTGCCTTTCCTGATAATCTATACACGGGGGAGGAGTTACGTTAGGAGAAGCCAATGTAAGGGGGGTTGCAGACCTGGCACGCACGCTGGAACTCCCTGGCCTAGTGGATTGGGGAGAAGAGTTTATGGTCAGGAGATCAATATTTTCTGGTTATTCCTGCCTAACTGACCACTGTATGGACCGCATTTTGCAAATCCGTTGGACACACTGCACATTACCAGGATGTTAGACGGCCGCGTGTCTGCGGTTTATGCAGGACTTTCGCGGGGTTTCCGCCATCCCTGTGTTTATCAGCGTGCCAGCCGACTCAGTGTGCAGGTTAATTGAAAGCCCTGATTTGGTGGTGGATAAAGAGAATGGAGTTGCCATGGCCGTCAGACATTGACGGGCGCCGAATAGCAAGACCACTGTGCGAAGGCGAGAGAGGCACAGGATGGCCATGGTGAAGGAGATGCAGTGGCACCGGACCACCGACCAATGCTGTAAGTAGGTTATGAACATTGTCATGAAAAGCCCCGAATGCGTTTAAGCGAATGATTTTCGCTGTGGCTATCTTTTTACGTAAAGTATTTTTGTGCGCCCAGGTCGAACAGTAGATAGGGGCTGTGGACTAGGAGAAGCCGTCCTGTCCCTTCAATGACCGGTCACGTCAAAGGGCTGAACGCGTAGTCTGGCACGGCCATTCTAATCCGGACAGACTGCGAGATAGCGTCCTCCGTGTCAGCGTCTCACATCTACCTCCTTGGATAGGTGGCTGAGAATGATTCCAACTACTGCGTCCTACGGCCACTTCAGATTGCCGCAGCCTTTTTCTTGGCTATAGTCATTCTATTCCTGACAACATTCTCCGAGTCAGGAGCTTTCCAAGAAGAAGAACTAGACGACGATGGTCAGGTCGGACGTGACTGATGGCCACTTTTTCCTAAGTGTTGTGTAC